ATATATAGATATATATCCAATGCATCTTACATCCTGATGGGAATGACGATGTGTTAACGCGCCAGTTTCGTTTTCGTTCGTGGAATACGCAACGAATTTCGCGCTATCGATCCCGATATAGTCTACCATCACTATTGTTGGGTTGTGTTGCTTTTACTACCATTCGTTGATTATTTACGAGACGAAAAGTAAAATGACTGTGCCGAACGTGTAAGTGACTGTGCCCCTCGATAATAGGTCGTTATCGATAAAACTGATGGCGCAGGTCACTTCGGTGAAAGTTGTTCGTTCGGATGAGAGACTTGGCTGTGAGAGCTTTCTCTCAAGGAGCAATCTCGTTTCTATGAGAGCCACGTTTAATTTTCGCTCCCCTGCGTACTTTATTGAGCAGAGCGATTTACAGGGCGGACGCGACAGATCTGTACGTGTGCGCTTAAAAAATGTCTGCGGAAATTAGACTTCTCACGGAACTTGAAGTAGGAATTAATAATAGAGATGTGGTTTTTTTCTTATAAGAAGAAACCACATAAAACATGCGTTTCACAGAAAGAGAGGTTTTGCTAAAATATTAAAAAATTTAGTTAAATACAGATATGAAAATAATTTTGTTGGACTATCAAAATAATTATGTAGGTAATTACTACACTCAAGTTAAGTAGTAAAATCGAAATCTGTTACAACATTATCATCAACGTTTAAGCATTTTCCATAATTATTTTGATGGTTCAACAATTGTCATTTATATAATATTTAAATTTTTATATATATACTTTATATACTTTATATACTATATATATATACTAGTAAAACTATTTTTTCTGTATTGCCTGTGAAGGCTTCATAAATAATAAGTTTAATAATTATTAATTACTGAACAAATGCATTATGTTTATATACTATAGATAAATTTATTATTCTATATAAAAATGCTATAAAGAAAACTAACAGTGATGAGTAATTAACTATTAACGCTTGACAAGCGTTGCATCTTACGAAGGCGAAGATAAGAGCTATTTTAAAGCATGTTAAACAGTAGTTATTGCTCGGTCTATTCTTTATGCGAATATTTAAGTATTTTCTTGTCAAGAATGTCTTCGAAACACCTATAAAATATTAACGTGTTTATGG